TCGTCCATTTGGATAGACTGGCTCCGTACCATGCGGACACCGGAACGAAAGCTGTTCGGGACGAACAGAACTAAGAAGGGGGTAATGTTATAACCGTGCTACCGAACGCACTAGATTCTAGCGTATTCTAGAATGTTCTAGTGACTGGAACGTTCTAGAGTATGCTGGAATCGGACCATCGGGAAGAATCTAGAAACGACGCTTGCGAAGAGTATATAAGCGCACGTCGCAAGATATTTGTGATTGGTGATATTCGTGATTGGTGATATTCGTGATTGGTGATATTCGTGATTGGGATATTCGTGATTAGTGATATTCGTGATTAGTGATATTCGTGATTAGTGAAATTCGTGATTTTGTGAATAGCGATTCGGTGAATTATTTAAAGCGATATTTGAATTGTTTGTTGACGTTGTCATAGCGATAGATTTTGAAAGATTTAAAAGTTAATTGTTGCGTTAGTGCGAATTTACTGGAAATAAACGATTAGTTGATTTCTTCTGTAAATAAAGTTTAATAACTAATAATAGTTGATTCCTTCTGTAAATAAAGTTTAATAACTGTTTGGAGTATTTTATTCAATCGAAGATTTGAACCCGTCGCATCGTAAACCGGTTACGACAGCGAGTATTATAACAATAAGTATTGATAACGAAGTTTATGAGAATGGTTCTATCAGAAGTGATGATAATAATGATAATGGTGATGGTAAATCTAACGGAAAGCATAATTACGGTACTGGTAATAAAGATGCAAAGGGGAATAATAGTAAAAAAATATATAATGATAATGACAGTGAAAAAATAATTCTGACAGCAGCAATGACAGCAGTGGTGGTGGCGATGATTATATTAACAAAAAATGGTAATAATAATGGCAGTAAGGAAAAAATTGTAATGGCGACAATTGTGGTGATGATGATGGTTCCAACAAAAATGGTAAAAATGATGACGGTAATGAAAATAAATCGATTGGTAACGAAGGTGATAATGATGATTCTAACAAAAACGGCGACAAGAAGGAGAGTGATGAAATTTTTGTACGAAGATAGTAGTGGCGATAACAATTCTAGCGAAAAAATGGTAATGAAAGTAGTCGTGACGATGATGCTAACAGTAATTATATCACTTATGGTAATAATGACATTAACGAGATTAGTATTTATGATAATAGTTCTAACAAATATGGTAAAATAATGGTTGCAATGATGGTTGTAATAATAAAAAATCTATTGAAAAACGAAAAAATATTGGTTTTAATAATGGTAACAAAATTTTGAATGTAGACAGCGACATTAATATTTTTATAACCGTCACAAATATATATATTAGTTAGATGACTAGTGTCGCTACGAACGCATACAGTTCGAGGAAGAACTAGAACTATATAAAGATGTACGAGATATTGAATAGTGGTCGTTAAATATTTGATATTGGAAAGCGATTGATTGTTAGTGTCGAGAGCGATATTTGACTCTGTGTTGTATTTTTATTTGCGTTTGCGATAAACGTTAGTGAATTGTTATTCGGAAAGCGATAGCTTCTGAACGTTAATTTGATAGTTTGTGAACATTAACTTTTATTAGTAAAATTAACTAACGTTGATGATTGATTAATTGATTAACATTGATTATTAATTTATGAGTAAATAAAACGATAGTTTGAAAGTTATTTTGTTTCGCTATTTTCACTGGGATAAAATAAACTCGTCGTCAACCGGGGCAGTTAAAACATTGGTGTCAGAAGTGGGATCTTCAATAAAAAATAAATAAGCATCATTGTTGAAGCATTTTGATTTTTCGTCGACAAGTTATTATGTGAAAACAACATGACGAAACTAAAGTAACTTAAATTGGTTCAACTCAAAAAAGTGTTAGAAAAACGAAATCTTGCTACAAATGGAAACAGAGGAGCTTTGATAGCACGCCTAACGAAAGTTCTTGTAAATGACAAAAAGAATCCAGACAAATTTGAGTTTGACGATCAGGATGTCGAATCGAATGCAATTGTAAATGCTGGGAGTAAATACCAAGTTGATGTCACTACTTCGAACGATATCAACAAAAATTGCAACAATCAGCAGAAAACAAAGAGATGGAAAATTATTGAATGCCAATTTTGCCGGGCAGAAGGTGGTTGGTAGAATTGACGCCCCTAGTATCGCGATTAAAGTTTCCTGGCTGCACTGTAAAGGAACCTCTCACAACAATGCTGATGCTCTTTCTCGTCAACCTTAATCCTAATCCGCGATTCTCGTTCCCATGCTCACTTTTACTATCAACACCAATGTTATAATTTCAAAATATCTACATTAAATATCAGTGTTTTAGATTCCAGCGATCTTGCACCGATCTTTTCAGTTCCTTGGGAGTTTTACCGGGCATCGTCTTATTCTGTGCCGTAAATTGTACAACCAGACCAACCAAGTCTTTGCTCTTGAAACCTGCGTTATTTTTTTGAGTAACGTCATGCCTCCGTTGTTTCGGTTCTCTAGCCATAGAGGTTAAAGGTTAAAGGCCAATTACACCTTTCTAAAGTTCAGGGGATCCAACAAAGTGCACAAACATCGTTATGAATACATGCTAAACGACGCATCACACACGAAGCATGTTATAGGCGGGGATCTTTTTGTCATATTCAAACCCGGTTACTGCGAAACAACACCAGGCGACCTTAACCATTAGACCATCACGCCGACGAATAGGCAGACGTCGTAGTCCTTTGATTTTGTTGGCACTTAAAGCAAGTGCTTTCATTCTATTGAGTTTAAGAAATGTTGAATGACCAGACGGATAGCTTTGATGCATGATGTAAAACAGGGTTGTTAATATCAAAGTATCAATGTCGTCGATATTGTATTTTCTATACTTTTTCAGTATTGCCTACGGTGCCGATAATACATTTGTCACAAGGTATCAAATTTGATATCGAAAATGTTTTTTAAACCGAAAATGTCGATAGTCAATACCAATATTTTTGATCAAAACGTTGAATTTTTTCAATAATTTTTATATTCAAAGTTATGTGCTTATTCTAATTACTTTAAAATTTTTATGTCATCTTATTTTTTATACGTCTCCGAGTTGTTTACTATCACGCCTTGTTCGTTTTCATTCCGTCGCATTTTCTTTGTTCGATTTGTTTATCACTAACGTCTGTCTGTTTTCTTTAGTAAGTAGAGTTTTAAACCACTATGATCTAAATTAAGTAGATTGCATTTTGAAGTGATGGTGTTTTTGCGTACTGCAAAGTGATAATAATGTTATATCATTTGAAATTATATTCTTTTTATAAATATTTTTTAATTATATTGACCTTTAAGGTAGTTTCCAATTTTTTATCATTATCTCATAAATAAAATTGGTGAATTGTGTAATATTTTCATAGATGTAAGCATTTAATTTAACGTAACAATGATTAAAAATGACAAAAGTATTGGTATTGATTGGCAATACTTTTGAAACTGAGTATTTGTTAGTATTTTTAGAACTGAGTATTGGAATTGATTTTGACAATTATTCGGTATTGTTAACAACCCTGTTGTAAAGTTCGTTGTTGACATCTCTCTTGTCAATCAGTGATGCTGCGATGAGAGACTCATCCTCATCAGCAACAAAGCAACAGCATTTAGGTAGATGAAAACCAAACTTTCATTCTACGCACGTGCTGGAAGGGTTTTGCCAAAACTTGAATTATCATCTGTCACCGATTGATGTCCGGAATAAATATTCGCATTAGCATTAGAATCTTCTTCACTGACACCGTTAATCTCTAGATTAATGCTGCCCCAGATTAACGTCTTATCCAATTTATCATAAATTGAATAGTTGGTGAGTGTTGCATCGAAATCGTCGCTATTATTGCTACTGATGTCGTTGTTATCAATGAAAACAAGCAAGTTAGCAGTAAGATCCGAGTAAAAGTCCCACTGCATATCAAAAGTTTCAATGTCTTTGTCACTGTCAACTTCAGGACTATTCTCAAAACATTCATCGTCATCTTCGTCATCATCTTCATCATTACGATAGTAATGGGCGTTAAAAATAGAAGGTGGCAGAAAGATCCGAGTAGTAGTCCCATTGCATATCAAAAGTTTCTGTCTTTATCACTTTCAACTTTCTAACATTTTCCAAACTTGTCAAGATAACAAATAATATAGCGCAATTTGACCATTGAAGTAATTATAACAATATGAATACGAATGGCAATGAAACAGTATTGAGATTGTTAAATATTAGATCCATAAATACAAAATTCAACAAAATTTAAATATATTTATATCTATTTATACTAGACGGTGGCTTAGATATTTTGATTCTGATGGAAATATGGCATCAATCTAGATCCATTTCTCAGATGAATTTTTGCTTCAGACACTATTAGTAAACCATGTTAGGGAATGAATCCTGATTAATGGAAAAAATCTTTGCGTTAGTAAATCCTGCTCATGTGATGAGGGTAAAAATGATTAGTTGACACCTTGGTTTGATTCCAACTGTCGAAGAATGAAAGCGAAATTAAGATAAATAAAAAGAAAATACAGAAAAACGTTGAATAATAAAGATAGGAAAAACTGGGTTAGCGCTCCATAAAAAGTTCTAAATTTGCACGAAAATGATGTACTCGTCGAAGCGATATAATTTGTGAAAATAATAACAATCCGAAACGCTTACGGGTTTTTATTAACAGATTGCTGTGCAAAGATAACTTCGGATGCTTTAAGAAACACGACTGATCACTTAGCTCAAAAGTTTGAATACTTTAAAAAAAAACAAATGAAGTAAGAGATTTGACAAAAGACGCAAGATGTCCAAGTTTTAATGATTTGGGAATTATAGATGAAAATTTATTTTCTAATTTTCAAATGTTTTCTGAGGATGAAGTAGTTAATTTAATATTAAACTCCCCATCTAAGTCTTATACATTGGATTGTTTACCGACAAACATTTTTAAGCAGCATGTCAGATTGTTCTCCAATATTTTGACCGGTTTTGTCAACCTGTGTTTCAGTTTGAGTGCATTCCTAATAGAGTTAAAACATGCTGCTGTTCTACAGTGTTGAAAAAGCAAAACATGGGTATAAATGACTTAAATAGTTAAAGACCGATTTCAAACATTTCATTTATATTGTTGCAGTTGCGCTTATGTAAGAAAGCATCAAACCAGGAAGAGCAGTGAGCGGGAGAAAAGCAGTTTTTCTCTTTATATAGCTCCCACAATCACTTCGTTAGGTTATGTGTGGTGTTTTATTTATTATTGAAGATCGATAGTTTTAGTCATTAGAATTTTCAATCAGACAATACTCTCCCACTAGATAGTCGCGTGTGTGTTGGCGACAAGATGGATGAGGTTGAATTGCCTGGATCAATCCTGTGTTGTTGTATCGAAGAAAGATTCGCATTGAAGTGGGAACACTCGTTGCTTATTTTTTCGATCACGTCGGAGTCACCAATTTGTTGCGGTTGCGCTAATTTCAACTTCAAATAATTAACTATACGTTCATGTAACACGAAATAGCTAATGCACACACAGTGAAACGCAAAACTTTGTACATGACAATGACGGCGAAAGAGCTAATGCACGCACAGTAAAACGCAAAACTTTGTACATGACAATGACGCCGAAACACAAAACACAGTGAAGTCGAAACAAAAGGTGTGGCGAAACACAGTAAAGGTAAGATGAAATCAATCATACAACACAAACAAACAACCACAAACGGTCTGGCTCTCGCAATCAGACAAGGCCGGCAAGCGCACGGGTCACAGCACCAACGCCTTTCCTACATAAGTTCTTCACGGCAGCCAGCAATGAACTCGAAGCGTTCCGCAACCCGAAAAAGTCTTAAACCCAGAATAGAGAAAGCGCCCCTCCACCAGTAACTAGGCTGCAACGAGTAATGACCTCGAAGAGTTTCGTTAGCCCAGGAGCTCTCTATCTCTCCGACACAAAACAAATGGCGACAATTATTTACATCGTTACGGACATGGAATAGTGAAATATTGCACGCAACATTTATACACAAAAAATAATCATTAAATAACTAATTTAACAACTATTTAATATCACCATTATTGCTAATAAATTATCTCCACGAAAAAAATATTATTAAATAAATAAAAATAAATAAATAAAAATAAATAATGGGCTTAAACGTAAGGTATATATGCCCATATCAAAATAGCACTAAAAGACAACAAAAAGCAATCAAACAGCAATGTCAATTTTATGATCATAGAGAAAATCTTTGTTGGCCATATATAAGTCAAAATTTCTCTTGAAGTTGGAAACAGTATCTGATTCAATAACGCATGTCGGTAAATTGTTCCAAATAGAGATCACTCTGTTAGAAAACGAATACTTTCTTGTATTTGTATGAAACTTTTGAACATGTATTCTATAGCAATGCCCTCTGGTACGTGGATCCGCATCAAAACACAAGCTGGTGAGGAATCTCTATCTACCATACCCTTCGCAATGTTGAAAATTATTAAAATGTCTCCACGGACTCTTTTAAATCTTAAAGTTGGCAAGCCAAGAAACTTCAATCGATCCGAGTAACAAAGGCCTTTGCAATCCCTGACCATCTTGGTGTCCCGTTTCTGAACCCTTTCCAAATCGTCAATTTCTTTTATTTTCCAAGGAGACCATACACTGACACCATACTCTAACTTTGACCTAATTAAAGATTTATAAATCAAAATAAATGACTCTTTAGTTAAATTTTTAAAGTTTTTGTATAACAATCTTAAAAGAACAAAACATTTATTAATGACATTATGTATATACTTTGAGAAGCTCAGTGAACGTTCAAACAAAACCCCCAAATCGTTTACTTCACCACAAAAATCCAAGTTGGAATTATAAATATTATAACACCAATTATTATCCAAACATAAACGACCAAATTTTATAACTGCACACTTTTCAATATTCAAATCGATTTTCCATAACATACACCAATTATACAATTTTTCAAGATGTTTTTGTAGCTCTATTCTATCATCCACACATCTTATAAAATTAAACATTTTAGCATCATCAGCATACAAATACATTTGAACAGAACTATCTTTCACATAATCAAACATGTCATTCACATACACAAAACCGGACCTAATACACTTCCTTGAGGCACTCCACTACTAACTTCAAACCTTTTAGACAAAAAATTATTCACTCTCACACTAGAAGTTCTACCACACAAATACTCCTTAATCCATTCAACCAAACAATCATTCACATAGTTTAATAATCCACTAGTGAATCATAAATCAAATTCACTACGAATGAACAATCAATTTTTACTTGTCTGTTTCACAAAAACAAAAGCGTGAACTAAATAACTATAAACAATACTACAATACTGAATAACGAAAACAACGAACCGGGTATTAACTGGATTTTCAAATTCCGATAATATAATTTATGATATAACAGCTAATAATGGGCTCAAACAAGGAAGTCTATATGCCCATGTCTAAAAACACTAACCATATAACTGAATATATACAATCAAATAATAGTGTTATAAACAAAGATAAACCATGTAACAGTATATGAAAGTCAAACAATAGTGTCCATGTTATAATCAAAAATAAAATCTTTATTAGCTTCAACCCCTCAATTTTCTTCTTCTTCCATGGTGACCAAACGGTGACTACATACTCGAGTTTCGACCTTTTTAGAGATTGTCAGTTTCGACCTTTTTAGAGATTGTCATAGCATAACTCCAATCATCAAGCAGTTTGAGCAGCTAGCTGAAGAGTGGTAGACCCACCTTTAACAAATCCACACTGCAAACTATTATTAACGAAAAAGCATATCAAATAATTTTTAATGATGGAGTCCAACAATTTACAACAGATACAACAAAAGGCAACCGGTCTATAATTTTCAACTCTATGTTTATCCCCTTTTTTGAATATGGGAGCAATAATACTATGTTTCCAATCATCCGGAATATTTCCTGTCTGTAAGGAAAAATTGAATACATCTGACAAATAAGCAGAAATTGAAAACTTGTGGTGCTTGTAATGATAATGTAGATAGAGCAGAACTATTTAACAGCGAAATAGCAAGAATTGCTAACATTGTGGCGCCTATTCATGTAGTTGAAGCAAGAGTTTTTCAAACAACTGCACCGTGGTTCGATAGTGATTGTAGAAAAATTAAACGTGATTGTCGAAGGTTTGAACGCAAATAGAGAAAAAATAAAAACACGATTAATATACGAAATTGGATTGGTCTAATGATTAGACGCACCACACAGTCATGAAAATCAAAATGCGTTGTGTTGTATTGGTATTATAGTTTCTTCATCATTAGTAACTGCTAAGTTTCACGAGCAATAACGACAATTTTAAAGAAATTCAATAAATAACCATTTAATAACATTCTGTATAAATATTTTTAAAATTAAAATGCAAAAAATTTTTTTTTTATTTTTTTCCATGGTCAAAAATGCATTGAAAATTGGTTGTGTTTTTTTTGAATAGAATGGTCATAACTATTAAGTTTCCTGCTTGATATTAATTATTCACCAGTTAATAGTAGAAAGTCTCATTACAGACAATGGAGACCTGAATTCTTTACCTGATGAAGGCACATGATTTCGAGGGCGCCTCAGTCGCTTACCAGGGCACTTTATAAGTCAACATTATCATTATCATGATAAATTTTGTAACTGTTATAAATGTGTGTTTGTGCGTGCGTGTAGCACTGTAATATAATAATGATTATTACATTTTATATTCGCATATGATTATTTCATTATTATAAATAAAATTCAATCTTTCTTTTCACGTCTTGTGCGCGAATATAACGCTCTACTACGCCCATTTAACATTGAGCGCCACTCTTAACATGGCGCAAGTTGAAAGTAAAAATAATTCTACAATAATAAATTTGGTGTTATTTTAATCAGCAAATTTTGCTTTATAAGAAAAAGTAGTTTATATACAAAAATTTTTTGGAAAGATTGTGCAACCTGCTAGTCTAATCTCTAACGATTATGAAACCAGAGCATTTTGCAAAGAAAAGAGAATCATACTGAGCAATTTAGTTAACATTAATGCTAATAAACCTAAACAGTTATGGCAGGTTTTAAATGTTATATGCAACGAAAAAACTAGTGCGGTTCATGTTGTTTATGTTCTATGATAAAGATGGCG